GTTGTGTGGGGGGGGGCTCGCTGTGGGTGTGTGCTCAGTGACTGTGTGTGTGTGGGGGGGGGCTCGCTGTGGGTGTGTGCTCAGTGACTGTGTGTGTGGGGGGGGTCGCTGTGGGTGTGTGCTCAGTGACTGTGTGTGTGGGGGGGGGCTCGCTGTGGGTGTGTGCTCAGTGACTGTGTGTGGGGGGGGGGCTCGCTGTGGGTGTGTGCTCAGTGACTGTGTGTGTGGGTGGGGGGGCTCGCTGTGGGTGTGTGCTCAGTGACTGTGTGTGTGTGGGGGGGGGGTCGCACACAGTCACTGAGCACACACCCACAGCGAGCCCCCCCACACACACACAGTCACTGAGCACACACCCACAGCGAGCCCCCCCCCCACACACACACAGTCACTGAGCACACACCCACAGCGAGCCCCCCCCCCCACACACACACACAGTCACTGAGCACAGACACACAGCGACCCCCCCCACACACAGTCACTGAGCACACACCCACAGCGAGCCCCCCCCCACACACACACAGTCACTGAGCACACACCCACAGCGAGCCCCCCCCCCCACACACACAGTCACTGAACACACACCCACAGCGAGCCCCCCCCCACACACACAGTCCCTGAGCACACACCCACAGCGACCCCCCCCCACACACACAGTCACTGAGCACACACCCACAGCGACCCCCCCCCACACACACACAGTCACTGAGCACACACCCACAGCGAGCCCCCCCCACACACACACACAGTCCCTGAGCACACACCCACAGCGCCCCCCCCCCCACACACACAGTCACTGAGCACACACCCACAGCGAGCCCCCCCCCCCACACACACAATCACTGATCACACACATACAATGTTTCCCTGCACACACATACAGTCGCTGAGCACACACAGTGTGTCCCTAGACATATACACACACACAGTCATTGAGCACACACACATACAGCCACTGAGCACACATATACACACACACACACAGTCACTGAGAACACAACACAGTGCGTTCCAACACATACACCGTCACAGTGGAACTCTCTGCCTCAATCCCTCTGCCTTGTCCCCTCCTTTTCCATTTTCGGAGCACACCTGAAGACCTTCCTCTTTGACTGCACATACTGTCACCTTCTCCTCCCTCTCCCCTTGGCTCGGTGTCAGGCTGTGTGTCACTGTAAAGTGCTCTAAGACACTGGCCTACAAGTTGTTGTCGTTGTAAAATAGGAAAAAAGCTAAAAACGTGAACCTGTGAGTTTAACCAGTTGTGGGCAAATTATAATAATTATAATTATTATTTATCATGTTGTTGAGAAGTCTCAAAGCGCTTCACAGAATATACTGTAAAGTGAATTGATGTGTATTTTGTGGATGAAACATGGGAGCCGACTGCACACAACAGTGTCTCATAAGCGGTCATAGATTGAGTGACCACATTTTTGTGGGAGGGATTATTATCCCTGGAAAGCCTATCGATTAACAACTGGGTTCCTACCTACTGGAAGGTAAACAGAGCCGTGCGGAATCAGGAAACTTGCCCAAGGTTTGGCCCTGATCTGCCGGGAGTCAAACCCGGGTTCTCTCGCTTGCGAGGAGAGTGCTCTCACCACTGAGCTGCAGCGAAATGTACTTAATGGCCCGTTCCTCATTTTAGCAGCTGATCATTTATTAATTAACTCCTGATTTTCTAACCCTATGCCCGATCGAGTCTGATCGGTACCCAGATTAATGTGTTTATTACCTGACCACATTGTTCCCAAACTTATTGTAAGAAGCCATCGACAGCAGCCCTCCAAAGCCAATCCCCAGGGAGTAGAAGATCTGAGAGGCAGCATCATTCCACACCTAAACCAACAAGATAACACCGTTCACCGTCATTATACACAGTCATTATACACACGCACCGTCATTATACACACACGGTCATTATACACACGCACCGTCATTATACACACGCACCGTCATTATACACACGCACCGTCATTATACACACTCACCGTCATTATACACACGCACCGTCATTATACACAGGCACTGCCATTATACACACGCACTGCCATTATACACACACCGTCATTATACACACTCACCGTCATTATACACACTCACCGGCATTATACACACTCACCATCATTATACACACACACCGTCATTATACACACTCACCGTCATTATACACACTCACCGGCATTATACACACTCACCGTCATTATACACACTCACCGGCATTATACACACTCACCGGCATTATACACACTCACCATCATTATACACACTCACCGTCATTATACACACGCACCGTCATTATACACACGCACCATCATTATACACACGCACCGTCATTATACACACGCACCGGCATTATACACACTCACCGGCATTATACACACTCACCGTCATTATACACACTCACCGTCATTATACACACTCACCGTCATTATACACACTCACCGTCATTATACACACTCACCGTCATTATACACACTCACCGTCATTATACACACGCACCGTCATTATACACACTCACCGTCATTATACACACGCGCCGTCATTATACACACTCACCGTCATTATACACACACACCGTCATTATACACACTCACCGTCATTATACACACGCGCCGTCATTATACACACTCACCGTCATTATACACACACACCGTCATTATACACACGCGCCGTCATTATACACAGGCACCGTCATTATACACACGCGCCGTCATTATACACACACACCGTCATTATACACACTCACCGTCATTATACACACTCACCGTCATTATACACACGCACCGGCATTATACACACCCACCGTCATTATACACACTCACCGTCATTATACACACGCACCGGCATTATACACACGCACCGTCATTATACACACGCACCGACCGGCATTATACACACTCACCGTCATTATACACACGCACTGCCATTATACACACGCGCCGTCATTATACACACGCGTCGTCATTATACACAGGCACCAGTAAATATGAACTAGAGTTGAGAAGGTTGGACGATGATCTGCTCGACGTTTTTGAGGGGGACGCATCTGATGTGTCTTTTTTTGGTGACACACACAGGAAACCCGTCACCAGGCTTGAGAGTATCAAAATCAGACTACGATCCACATATATAATAATAATTGTTGCATTTGATATAGCACCTTATCACGTCTTTGAGATGTCTCAAAGCGCTTCACAGAATATACTGTAAAGTGTAGTGACTGTATTTTGTGGGAAACATCTGAAGAGGAAAAAGACAGTGACGAGAGGATATCAAAGAGAATTTAGAAGGAATTACTTCACATGGAGGATAGTGAGTCTGTGGAAGTTGCTGCCTAAAGCGGGGTTGAGCAGATTGTGTAGATGTATTTAAAAGAAAACTAGATAAACATAAGGGAGAAGGGAATAGAATTGAGAGGGATTGGGGGAGTGGGTGGAGACTTGTGTGGCGTATAATAATAATAATCATTGCATTTGACATAGCTCCTTATCACATTCTTGAGATGTCTCAAATTGTTTCACAGAATATACTGTTACAGTAATTGACTGTATATTTTGCGGACAGAACGCGGCAGCCAATTGCGCACAGCAGTGTCCCACAGACAGCAGTGCATAAACACAGGCACGGACTAGTTGGGCCGAGTGGCCTGTTTCTGTGCTGTACAGTTGTATAAACTTATGTAAATGTGAAAGGGTAAAGGAACGGGAATTAATTAACATTCAGTGGGGCTAGGGCCTTATCATCTAATAATAATAATAATAATAATCAGACTCAATGGGCCAAATCATCTCCTTGTGTGATTCCAGGATACACACATAAACATACAGGTACCTAAATGCACATCTCCTCACATACACAGGAACTGGAATTATCCCAATGTAGGCAGGATGTGTCAGGAGGGTAACACAGTCCAGGTGTACGTGTAGGTAAGGTGACAGTCCAAGTGTGTTCTGTACCTGTGCACTGCCCAGACGGCTCCAGTCGGCTGTCAAGTAAAACTGTACCCCCTTTAGGGAGCCCTCCAGTGTGGCTCCGCGGATAATCAGCACGATCAGCACCAGGTAGGGGAAGGTCGAGGTCACATACACAAGCTGAAACACACACAGCGGTGAGCACGGACAGCATCCTCAATGTTTTCACAGCATCACAGGCTTTTCTAGATACATTTGCTCAGACAGCTCAGGGCCAGGGACTCCCCCCTCCCCTCTAAAGGAGAAGGTCCTGTAGTGTAGAGGTTAGCGCACTTGCCTCAGAAGCGAGAGGACCCAGTTTTCCGAGTGAATTTTGGGTGGGGCTTCACAGAGTTTATTGTAAAGAGTAGTGACAATATATTTTGTGGGTGAAACGTGGCAGCCAATTGCCCACAGCAGGGTTCCACACACAACAACAACAACAAGATTCCATTTATAGAGCGTCTTTCACGTCGGGAGGACGTCCCAAGGCACTGTACAGTTGGGTCGGGACCCGAGCAGTGGGGAAATGGTCAGGGTGAGGGGAGGGAAGGGAGGGAGCGAGGAGGGGGGAGATGGTCAGGGTGAGGGGAGGGAAGGGAGGGAGCGAGGAGGGGGTAGAGAGTCGAGAGCGGAGCTGAAGGTACAGTCAAAGAGAAAGGTCTTGAGACCGGTCTTGAAGGAGGAAAGGGAGGAAGCGGCGAAGGCACTGGTGGATAAAGTTCCAGAGCCTCGGGGCTGAGAGGCTGAAGGCCACCGATGGTCGGGCGGTTGGGGCGGGGGATGTGGAGCAGACCGGAGCCAGAGGAACGGAGGGTACGGGCAGGTACGTGGGGGGAGAGTAGGTCGGAGAGGTAGGAGGGAGCGAGGCAGTGAATGGCCTTGTAGGTGAGGATGAGGATCTTGAATTCGATCCTCTGGGGGATGGGGAGCCAGTGGAGGCGAGCGAGGGCGAGGATGAGGGTGAGGGCGAGGGTGAGGACGAGGGTGAGGGCGAGGGTGAGGGCGAGGGTGAGGGTGAGGGTGAGGGTGAGGGCGAGGATGAGGATGAGGGCGAGGGTGGGAGTGATGTGGGTCCGGTGTCTGGTGCGGGACAGTACAGGAGCTGCAGAGTTCTGAATGACCTGCAGTGTGGAGGGAGGGCCGGGAAGGCCGACGAGGAGAGCGTTCCATAGTCCAGCCTTGAGGTGATAAAGGCGTGTTTTTTTTAAGGGATTATTACCCCCAGAAAAGCGATCCGCCAATCGACTAACAACCGGGTTCCTACTTACTGCTGGTAAGCAGAGGAGTGTGGAATAAGGAAACTTGCCCAACATTCGCCCTGCCCGGGAATCAAATCATGTCCTCTTGCATGCGAGGTGAGCGCTCTAACCACTGAGCTACAGGCTCCACTATAATACAGAGATAAGTGATTGGAGGAGAATCGTGTCGAGAGAGTCCCCGGGGTGGCTGAATGTTGTATTTCTGTGCTGTCACCCTCTGTGATTCTAAGAATATAAATGATAATAATGCTTGCATTTGATATAGCGCTTGTCACATCTTCTAGATGTTTCACAGGGTATACAAAGCGCTTCACAGGATACACTGAAAAGTGTAGTGACTGTATATTTTGTGGGCGAAACACGGCAGCCAATTGCTCGCAGCCGTGTCAGGGACGAGCACATATACAGTGATGTACTGTTCACTTGCAGAGGCAGATGTGTGTGATGATGATGGTGATGAGGAAGGTGACTCACTATGCCTGAGCTGTGAATCCCTCGCAGGCAGATCAGGAAGATGAAGATCCAGGCAAACAGCAGGCAGATAGCCAGCTGCCAACGAACACTCCCAGGGTCATGTAGGCCTGAACTCCTGGTCAGCCCCAGAACATGCTCACTGTAACACAACCACAGTTTGAGTGTGTCACTATAACACAACAACAACAACAAGATTACATTTGTAAAGCGCATTTCACATTGGGAGGACGTCCCAAGACGCTGGACGGAGTACAGCATATCAGACCCGAGCTGGGGTCAGGGGGGAGAAGGGAGGGGAGGGGAAGGGGGGTGACCGATGGCATGGTCGAAGAGGAAGATCTGGAGGCTAAGGAGGGGGCAAGGGGGGGGTGATTGGGGAATGGAATTCCAGAGGTTGGGGGCGGAGTGGCTGAAGGCTCTCCCGCGGGTGGGGCGGGTGGGTCGGGAGACGTGGAGCAGCCAGAGCCGGCTGAGCGGAGGGAGCGGGGGGGTTGGTAGAGGGTTAGGAGGTCGCAGAGGTAGGGTGGGGCGAAGCCATGGAGGGCTTTGTAGGTGAGGACCAGGATCTTGAACTGGATCCTCTGAAGCATAGGAGTCGGGGGAAATGGGGTCACGGAGTTTGGTGCGGGAGAGGACACGGACTGCAGAGTTAGTTCTGGATTATCTGCAGCTGTGGAGGGTGGCGTTGGGAAGGCCGACAAGCAGGGCGTTTGCATAGTCGAGTCTGGAGGTGATGAAGGCATGAACAAGAGTTTCAGCGCCTGAGGGGTGAGGTAGTGGCGGAGTCGGGCGATGTTATGGAGGTGAGGGAAGGCAGAGTGGGTTCATGGCTTGGATGTGGGGGAGAAAAGACAGTTGAGGGTGAACAAGACACCTCGGTTCCTGACTGGCGGTGAGTTGTAGTGTACACCATGGAGGTTGATGTTGCCAGAGCCTGAGGTGCGGAGGCGCTGGGGGGAGACAATCAGGAGGGCCTCAGTCTTGTTCACGTTCAACTGTAGGAAATTTGCCCTCATCCAGGACTTGATATCCGACAGACAGTCTGTCAGTGGGTCTGGGGCTGAGGGTGGGGGCAGACAGACAGTCTGTCAGGACAGCAGTGGTCCTGGGGCTGAGGGTGGGGCAGAAAGAGAGAGTTGGGTGTCATCCGCACACATGTGGAAGTTGACCCCATGTCTGCGGATGATGTCCCCGAGGGGGAGCGTGTAGATATTAAAGAGGAGACAAGGACAGAGCCCTGGGGGACGCCAGACGTGACAGTGCAGGGGCTGGAGGAGAAACCGTTAGAGGCAACAAAGTGGAGACGGTGAGAGAGATAGGAATCGAACCAGGCGAGGGCAGGTCCGCGAAGGTTGAGTAAAGCGGAGAGGCGGTGTATGAGGATGGAGTGGTCGACAGTGTCGAAGGCGGCAGAGAGGTCGAGGAGGACAGGGAGGCAGAGGGAGCTCTGATCACAGATGTTCAGAATGTCATTAGTGACTGTGACCCCCAGGGCTGTTTCCGTGCTGTGGGCAGCGCAGAAGCCGGATTGGAGGGTTCAAAGAGGGAATGGTGAGAGAGAAGGGAGCGGAGCTGGGACGCGACGACAACTACAGTAACGTTCATTGTGAATGTAAGCAATTCACTGTAACACACACAGTAACGCCCGTATACCCCCCATCGCACTAGTCCTTGCCAGATTCCACTGGCTCACTATCAACACACTAACCTCCGTACCTCCAGCACCCCAGTGCTCGCTAGGCTCCACTGGCTCCCAATTACTAAACAGATCGATTTCAAGACCCTCTCACTCGTTTTCAAATCTCTTCATGCCCTGGCATCTCCCTCCCTCTCTGACTTGTTTACCTCCCACTCCACTACCCGCTGTCACCGCTCAGCTGGCTCCAGCATCCTGTGAGTGTGTCACTATAACACACTCTAACAGGGCGAGCGGGGAATATCCCAGAACTTGCTTACTCTATAAAACCCAAGAGATGACCATTAATCAATACAAAGTATGAAATATTGTGTCTCTCTCATGAAGAGGGCATCATCACACTTGCTCCCTCCAGCCATCTGACACACTTGTCCTGTCCTCAGCCTCTACTATATCTCGGATCCTTTGATCAAGATCAAGATCCAGAGATAAGTCTATATCAGGGCGGTTCACCTGGTGATTTCAGCTATTGGGAATATTCCTGGGGGATTCACTAATAGTGATAAATTTACCAAACCTAAGGAAATCTCAAGTCTGCGAGACACGTGTAGGTTAGAACAAAGATTGCGTTAATTACAAGAGGAAACATGTAATCACATTCAATCCCCACTCCACCCCACCCACTGTCACTGCTCAGTCGGCTCCGGCATCCTGTGAGTGCGTCACTATAACACACTCTTCATTGTTGTTTAAAGCACATTCAATTCTGTTCATTTCCTTGATCGACCGGTTGATCAAAGTAAAGCTTCCACACCATCAACACCAGTAACATCCAACACGAATAGAAAATCAGAACCTACTATAATAACAACAACAACAAGATTACATTTGTATAGCGCCTTTCACACCGGGAGAACATCCCAAGGTGCTGGACAGTGCACAGCATTTCAGACCCAAGCTGGGGTCGGGGTGGGGTGGGGGGGGGGAAGGGAGGGTAGGGGAAGGGGGGTGGCCGATGGCATGGTCGAAGAGGAAGGTCTTGAGACAGGACTTGAAGGAGGCTAAGGAGGGGGCGAGGCAGAGTGATTGGAGGATGGAATTCCAGAGGTTGGGGGCAGAGTGGCTGAAGGCTCTCCCGCTAATGGTGGGGCGGGGATGTGGAGGGCTTTGTTTGTGAGGACCAGGATCTTGAACTGGATCCTCTGAAGGATAGGGAGCCAATGGAGTCGGGCGAGAATGGGGGAGTTTGGTGTGGGAGAGGACACGGGCTGCCGAGTTCTGGATTATCTGCAGCCTGTGGGGGGAGGCGTTGGGAAGGCCGACAAGCAGGGCGTGAGAGGCAACAAAGTGGAGACGATGGGAGAGATAATAATCGAACCAGGCGAGGGCAGGTCCGTGAAGATTGAGTAAAGCGGAGAGGCGGTGTATGAGGATGGAGTGGTCGACAGCATCGAAGGCGGCAGAGAGGTCGAGGAGGACAAGGAGGCAGAGGGAGCCCTGATCACAGATGTTCAGAATGTCATTAGTGACTGTGACCCCCAGGGGGGCTGTTTCCGTGCTGTGGGCAGCGCAGAAGCCGGATTGGAGGGGTTCAAAGAGGGAATGGTGAGAGAGAAGGGAGCGGAGCTGGGACGCGAGTACTCGTTCCAGGACCTTGGAGAGGAATGGGAGGTTAGAGATGGGGCGGGAGCTGGAGAGGAGGGATGGGTCCAGGGAAGGTTTTTTCAAGATGGGGGTGATGACGGCTGTTTTTAGGGGGGTGGGAACTGAACCGGTGGACAAGGAGAGGTTGGTGATATCGGAAAGGAGAGGTGCCAAAGGTGGAGCTGGGAGACGAGGAGAGAGGTGTGGATGGGATTGAGGGAGCAGGTGGTGCTCTACCTTGGAGTAGAAGGAGGATTTGGCGGAAGCAACAGCGCAGCGGTAGGTCTTGGTATGGTGAAGCCAAATCTGCCGATGGACCATTAGTTTGGCTTTGGTCCAGGCGCGTTCGGCACCTCACACTTGTGCCTTGAGGGAACGGAGATGGCTGGTATACCAGGGGGTTTTACGGGAGTATGAGGCAGTTCGGGAGGTGAGGGGGGAGGCAAGGGAGTCCAGAATGGAGGAGAGGGAGTTGTGGAGAAAAGAGACTGAAGAGGGGAGATCGGTCAGTGGAAAGGAAAGCCTGGAGGGGTGGTAGAGGGTGAGGTGTTCAAAGGACGGGAAGCTTCCAGAGGAATAAGGGGAAAGGGAGAGGGAGGAAATTTGTTTCCATGGTCGGTATGTGATGGTGGAGGGATGGGAAAGGGGAAGGGGTACTGAGGTGTTGAGAGAGATAAAGTGGTGGTCCGTGATGGCTTTATTAATGATGGTGATATCCAAGACCGTGAGGCCCTGGTGATCACCAGGTCAAGAGGGTGGCCACGATCATGGGTGGGGAGTGGATGAGGAGGGCGAGGTTAAGGGAAGAGAGGAGGGAGGAGAAGTCGGCAGAGGTAGAGCAGAAAGGGGTGAAGTGGAGGTTGAAGTCTCCTAAGATTGGGAGGCGTTCAGAGCAGAGGAAGAGGGAAGATAGGAGGGTGGAGATGTCCGAGCGGAAGGTGGGGGAAGGCTTGGGGGGACGGTAAACAAGGAGGACTTTGAAGGAAAGCCTGGAGGGGTGGTAGAGGGTGAGGTGTTCAAAGGACGGGAAGCTTCCGGAGGAATAAGGGGAAAGGCCGAGGGGAGACCGTGAGATGAGAGCCACACCATCGCCACGGCGATTAGGCCGTGGGGTTTGGTGAAAGGTGTAACCTGGAGATGTGGTCTTGACTAGTGGGAAGGTGTGGCCTGGGGTGACCCAGGTTTCAGTGAGGGCGAAGATGTCGATATTTTCCTCAACGGTGAGGTCATGGATTGTGATGGACTTGTTGGTTAGTGAGCGGACGTTCTGCAGACCGATGCAGAGGGGACAGTTAATGGTGGGAGTATGGGGGAGATGAGGGTGGGGAGGGGGTGGGCAGACAGGTTGGATGGGGATGTGAGTAGGGAGGAAAGGTTGGCTGCAGTGGTTGAGGGGTGATGGGCCTTGCGGCGAGAGTGGAGGAAGGGGCAGTCAAGTTGGTTGCTGAAGGACAGCCAACGGCATCAACCATGGTGGGCACGATGGAGAATGTGAAGGGAGGAGCAGAGGGAGGTCGTGGGGGAGTCGAGGAGGGATAGGAGTCAGGGCAGGCGGAGGGAGAGGAGGGTTGAGTGGGAGTAGTGGAGGGAAGAGGACGGGGTCAGGAACATCTTGGGGAACAGTTCGCGTCAATTGCGGCAGCCAATGTGAGCACGGTGAGACTCGGAGCAGACAGGAGCGTTCAGCGAGCCAGGGTTAGACCCTGGGCTGGGCTGGTGAGGCTCAGTGAGGGGATGGGGGTGGGGATGGGGATGGGGGCAGTGATGGGCGCACTGATAGGCGTGGGGATAGGGGTGGGGATGGGGGCAGTGATGGGGGCAGTGATGGGGGCGGTGATGGGGTTGATGATTTCCCAGTGAGTCCTGGCCTCGAGATTCAAATAAGGCGGGCGGGATGAGGTCACGCGGCAGCCTGTTGCTGATTGGCTGAGCCCTCAGAGAGTCCGGAATGGCGGTGCGGGCCGGCCGGGGCGATGGGTCCCTCACAAGTCCTTCCGCATCGCCCTGGGCCCCGCGCTGGGCCTTGTCGCCGCTTAGGGTGTCAAACTCCTTAGCAGGGAAGCCCTCAGACCTCGAGTCAGCCTCGCCACGGGTCCCATTCACCTCTGAGCTGCCCCAGGGCCGGCTCTGACTGGGTCCCAGATCCCACTGGACCTTGAGCCAAGGGTCCTGTCCGAGGTGTCGAGTCCCAGCCTCGCTCTGGGAGCCTTGGCCCCGATCCCGGGTAGGTCGCCTCCGTCTCCGACTCCATTCCAGGCTCCCCGGCCATGGAAGACCTCGACCTTGAGCCCCAGGGCTCCCCACGCCCCAGCTTGAGTCTGGATGATCCACAGCCAACCCCAAGCGTCTCAAGATCCGCAAGCGCCTCCTGACCGCCTCCATCTTGATATATAACAATCTTACATCTGATATAGCGCCTTATTTGGGCAATGACCTATCCTCCTCGGTCACTCTCCTCCCCATAGCTCCTTCTCCACCACTCTCAATGCCCTTGGTCTCTCCCGAACCATCTCCTGCTCATGAAAGTCACCCTGGTACACCAGCCACCTCCGCTCCCTGAAAGCATGTGTGTGTGTTGCTGAGCGCTCCTGGCTCAAATCCAACTTAACGGTCCATTGGCAGATCTGGCTGAACCTTATCAAATCTTACCGCTTCACCCTCGCCTCCATTAAATCGTCATTCTACTCCAGGACAATCTTGGACGCCAAGGACAACCCCAGGCTCCTCTTCTCCATCACCAACCAGCTCTACCGTCCACCCTCTAACTCCTCGCCCATCCTCTCCTCCAACGCCAACTGCGAGGAGATGCTGGACTTCCTCAAAACCAAAGTCGAGGGGATCAGCTCAGCTGCCCCTGGCCTTCCATCTACCCTGGCCCCCACCCATCCCTCTCTCCACACGGTTGAACCTGTCTCCCTCTCCTCTCTCACCACCACTATAACCTGCATGAAACTGACCACCTGCTCCCTCGACCCTATCCCTATACCTCTTCTTAGCTCCCAGCTCCACCTCCTTGGCCCCCTACTCACAGACATCATAAACCTCTCCCTGTCCACTGGCACCATTCCCACCTCTTTAAAAATGGCCATCATCTCTCCTATCCTTAAAAAAATATCCCTGGACCCATCCCTGCTTAAACTACTGCCCCCATCTCCAACCTCCCTTTCCTCTCCAAGATTCTGAAATGAGTCATTGCTTCCCAGCTTCGATCTTTCCTCTCCCGTCAATCCCTTCATGAGCCCCTCTAATTGGGTTTCTGTGTCACCCACAGCACAGAAACAGTCCCGGTCAAAGTGACAAATGACATTCTGCTCATCTGCGACCAGGGCTCCCTCTGCCTCCTCGTCCTCGCCACTGCCTTCAATACCATTGACCACTCTATCCTCCTCCACCGTCTCTCCTTCACCTCAACTTTCAAGGTTCTGTCCTTGACTGGTTCAGATTGTACCTCTCACACCGCCTGCACTTCATCTCCTCAAACGGCTTCTCCTCTCGCCCCCGGACTGTCTCATGCAACGTCCCTCAGAGCTCTGTCCTTGGTCCCCTCCTCTTCAACATCCATATGCTCCCTCTTGGTGACATCAACCGCAGACACAGGGTCAACTTCCACATGTATGCGGATGTCACCCAACTCTTCGTCTCTGCCTCCACCCTTGACTCCAGGACCACTTCTGTCCTAGACGAGAACTAACTTTCTTCAGTTGAATATTAACAAGACCGAGACTCTCCTGATTGGCTCCCATCAGCGCCTCCTCACCTCAGGGGCTGACAGCATCACCATTCCAAGGATGGACACTGCACCTTACTAAGCCAGGCCAGAACCTTGGCATCTTGTTTGACCCTCAACAACAACAACACGAGCTGGAGGTTGGGATCGGGGAAGGCTGGAGGGCAGCGGGGGAGGCAGGGTGATCGAAAGCACAGTTATGGATTGAGCGACCACAGTAGTATTATGTTTTTTTGAAGGGATTATTACTCAATCAGCCTATAGTATCAGTACCAGAAGTCAAGTTGCCAGCAGCAAAGTCACCCAACATACCTTCAACTTTAGTCCAAACCCCTCAAACATTTCATACCTTCAATCACTACTCAGAAAGTGAACAGTTTCAGTTTGATCTCACTCTATTAGAATATCCAGCAATCAAACAGTTGATAAAGACAGGCAGCCTTGTGTGAATTCTAATAATCAATATTGAGAATCAATGTAAATCAGTGATACAAAGATACAAATCCAACTTACTTCCAGAAGACTTCACTGGCACTCTGATGGGTCTGGTTTGTGGTCAGGTTCTGTTGGGAGTTAAGCAAATACATTTTTGCGTTTGTCAGGTACCACACAAATAATTCCACCCACTCGTGACACCCAACTCGTGTCAACTCAGTCTCACACTCTCCCCACTCAACTCAGAAAGTTCTGGATTCAAACTCCAAGTAGGGACTTTTAACTCACAATCCAACAACAACAGATTACATTTACACAACACCTTTCATATTGAGAAGACGTTCCAAGGCTCTGGACAGTCAGGGATTTGGACCTGAACTGGGGGTTGGGATCAGGAGGGGTGGAAGGATACTAGACTCCACGGTTCTATTACATGGTGAGGAACTCAAACACTTACACAGTCTCCCCCACAGTGTGTGACCATTGACCACTCTATCCTCAACTAAGTGGTTAGAGCCCTCGCCTCGCAAGCAAGATGACCCGGGTTAGTTTCCCGGGAGGGCGAAACCTTATGCAAGCCTTCTTACTCCATCGCCTGTTTACCTAGCGGAAAGTAGGAACCCGGTTGTTAATCGATTGGTGGATCGCTTTCCGGGGGTAATAATCCCTTCCAAAAAAATTAATAATAATAATGTGGTCACTCAATCTACGACTGTTTGTGGGTCACTGATGTGCGCAATTGGCTGCCACATTTCGTCCACAAAATATGCAGTCAATTCACGATACAGTATATTCTGTGAAGCGCCTTGAGACGTCTCGAGGACGTGATAAGGCGCTGTATCAAATTACTCCTTACCTGACAGAGGTGGGCATTCGCGGCAGCATCACATGACCAAGGCAGTGGGTATTGGAAAGACATTCCCAGATAGTAGAAGGTCCAGGCAATGATAACGTTGTAGTAAAGTGAAACCAAGGCTGAAACCACCAGCATCCCAATCCCAATACCTGGGGGAGGAGGAATGGAATGTTACTGAGTGATTTGTTTTTAGTCTGACACAACAACAACAACACATTACATTTACACAGCGCCTTTCACATCGGGAGGACGTCCCAAGGCGTTGGACAGTCAGGGTTTTGGACCCGAGCTGGGGGATGGGATCAGGAGGGGTGGAAGGCAGGGAGGTTAGGAGAGTTGCTGAAGGTGCGATCGAAGGAGGGTCTTGAGACGTGACTTGAAGGAGTCCAATTCTGGTCTTCACACTACAAGAAGGATATAGCAGCGACAATTAGCAGATTGCTTTCCGGGCATAATAATCTCTCCAAAATGAACAATAATAATAATAATCCTTACATTCGACATAGCATCTTATCACATCTTCAAGACGTCTCAAAGCGCTTCACAGGATACACTGTAAAGTGAATTAACTGTACATTTTGTGGATGAAACACGGCAGCCAATTGCGCATAGTGGGTGTGCTCATTCGATCCATGACTATATCTGGGACACTGCTGCACACAATTGGCTCCCAGTGGGATGGAGGGATGGTGGGATAGAGGGCGTAGGAGGGAGGGAGAGTGTGGGAGTGAGGGAGGGAGGATGGGATAGAGAGTGCGGGAGGGAGTGTGTGAGGGAGGGAGATGTGGGAGAGATAGATGGTTGGGAGGGAGGGATAGAGGGTGTGGGAGGGAGGGATAAAGGGTGTAGGAGGGAGGGTAAGAGATGTGGGAGGGATAGAGGGTGTGGGAGGGAGGGATAGAGGGTGTGGGAGGGAGGGATAAAGGGTGTGGGAGGGAGGGAGAGATGTGGGAGGGATTGAGGGTGTGGGAGGGAATGTGTGAGGGAGGGAGATGTGGGAGGGATAGAGGGTGTGGGAGGGAGGGATAGAGGGTGTGGGAGGGAGGGAGAGAGATGTGGGAGGGATAGAGGGTATGGGAGGGAATGTGTGAGGGAGGGAGATGTGGGAGGGATAGAGGGTGTGGGAGGGAGGGATAGAGGGTGTTGGAAGGAGAGAGATGTGGGATATAGAGGAATAGAGGATGTGGGAGCGAGGGAGGGTGTGGGAGGGAGTGAGGGTGTGGGAGGGAGGGAGGAATAGAGGGTGTGAGAAGAAGGGAGGGTGAGGGAGGGAGGGAGTGTGGGAGGGAGGTAGAGTGTGGGAAGAAGGGATAGGGGTGAGGGAGGGAGGAATAGAGGGTGTGAGAAGAAGGGAGGGTGAGGGAGGGATTGTGGGAGGGAGGAAGAGTGTGGGAAGAAGGGATAGGGGTGAGGGAGGGAGTGAGGAATAGAGGGTTGGGAGTGAGGCAGAGGGAGGGAGAAATAGAGGGTGTGAGAGGGTGTGAGGGATGTTGGAGGGAAGGAGAGGGAAGGAGTGTGGGAGGGAGGGAATGTGGGAGGGAGTGAGGGATAGAGGGTAAGAGGGTATGGAAGGGAGGGAGAGAGAGAGGGAGGGAGGAATGACGGGAGACGTGTGGAGTATAAACGTTGGCCGGCATGGACTGACTGAGCCAAGGGACCTGTTACCAAGTTGTAGAGTCTTTGTAAACCTTCTGGCCCAGAGGAGAGCGGTGCTGTACATGTGACAGAGACACCATATACTACCTTTGAGGATGGGGCAGCATTTCCACACAGTGATTGGGCCAGAACCACCGTACTGCCCGAGGCTGAGCTCCATCAGGAACAGCGGCAGCCCTGTAAACAGCATCATAATGCAGTAAGGGATCAGGAACACACCTGAGAAAACAGCACCAACAAGATATAATCTTCAACAAGGGAAGACAAGTGAATGAGGGAACGAATGAGAGAGGGAGCGAGTGAGGGAGCGAGTGAGGGAGCGAGTGAGGGAGTGAGTGAGTGAGTGAGTGAGTGAGTGAATGAGTGAGTGAATGAGTGAGTGATGAGAGAAAGTAAGAGAGTGAACGAGAAAGTGAGTGAGTGAGTGAGTGAGTGAGTGAGTGAGTGAGTGAGTGAGTGAGTGAGTGAGTGAGTGAGTGAGTGATGAGAGAAAGTAAGAGAGTGAACGAGAAAGTGAGTGAGAGAGTATTAAAGGTCATTTCAGAACTGGAATATGGGTCCGCAGATACCCATCCACACTACGCCCCAAACCCGCACACAATATTACCCATTTCCTACCTCCTCCATTTCGATAACACAGGTATGGGAATCTCCACACATTCCCCAATCCCACACAGTAGCCTATACACGAGAGCAGAAACTCGTACTTCCCCCCCCAGCTGCCACGGGAGGGCAGTGACTCTGAGGGTGCGGCTGAGGTTCCAGAGGGATTGGCAGATTGGGAAGTTTCGGGGTGACTGGCATGGCTCCCCGATGTCACGCTATTTACGGCAGTCTGTGGGGAAAGGAGAGACAGGCGCTTTAGCAACAACGCTACAAATCTCAGATCAGGACCTGGATGGGTATTACCACCACCACGATGTTTAAACACATAATAATAATAATAATCTTTGCATTTGATATAGCGCTTTTCACGTCGGGAGGACGTCCCAAAGCGCTTCACAGAACACACTGTAAAGTGAATTGACTGTATATTTGTGGGCGAATGCTGTGTAAATATACTTTAGGATCATGGCATACAGGAACATGCAAAAAGAACTACATTATATTGTTAAATAAATACATAATCATTATATTTGATAGAGTGCCTTCCATGTTAATAATCACATTAATAATAATAATCTTTGCATTTGATATAGCACTTTATCACGTCTTCGAGACAACCCAAAGAGCTTCACGGAATATACCGTAAAGTGCAGCGACTGCATTTTTTGGGTGAAATGCAGCAGCCAATTGTGCACAGCAATGTCCCACAAACAGTCGGGGATTGACTGACCAAATTATTATTTTAAAAAATTTTTTGAAAAGGATTATTACTCCAGGAAAAGCAATCCATCAATCAATTAACACGTGTGTTCCTGCTTACCGCTAGGTAAACGGAGGTGTGTGGAAACTTGAATATTGTTTCACTCTGCCCGGGAATGGAACCTGGGTCCTCTCACTTGTGCGGCTATTCAAACATATATTTTAGGAAGCAGGGCATACATATAACCTGAATTATACCGCTAAATAATTATGTAATCCTTATATTTATCAAAATCCACACATCTCTAACGGTTGTTGCACACTCATTTTCAAATCCCTTCTTGCCCTCGCACCTCCCTACCTCTCCGACCTGTTTACCCCCAATCTACAACCCGCTGCCTCTGCTCGACTGGCTCCGGCCTCCTGCACGTCCCTCATACGCGACGTTCCGCCATCAGCAGGCGAGCTTTCAGCCACTATGCTCCAAAACTCTGGAACGCTCTTCCTCTAGCCTTATTCCTTCCTTCCCCATCTTCAGTTCACACCTATGCGACCGTGCCTTTGGTCACCTCCCCTTCCCCCCAGCACCATGCTCCACCACTGTCAAGTGCTCTGGGATGGGATGCAACCCTGCTTGAGGGGAGCGGTGTAAATAAAAGTTATTATTATTATTAAGACGAGGGTTTGTCCATGTGTGTTGTGCACATGTTCTCAATGTTTATCCAGTCAGAAGCTTGACAATAAGAAGAGCAGGGTGAACACTGGCCATTGCGACAGTCTCTTCCGCCTGAGCTTTGGGATGTGCTCTCCACGTGAAAGGCGCTATAACAAATGGAATTTGCTGTTGGTGGTGTGTGTGAGTACACATCTCCCACAGTGTTGCAAAGGGCACCCAACGCTCCCTACCCAAATCCTGACATTTCACGGCTTGTACGTCAGACGGGTGTGGTAGTAACTAGTAGCATAATACTCTTTAGATAACATTTCAGATGATGCATCCAGGTTTACCACACCTTAAGTGATTACTAATGAACAGAAATGTTAAATATTCCCGAGGCTCCCGGCAGGGCGAACCACTGGGCAGGTTTCCTTACTCCACACCCCTCTGTTTACCTAGCAGTGAGTAGGAACCCCGATATTAGTCAATTGGGGGATCGTTTTTCCGGGGGTACTAACTCCTCCAAAGAAAACCGATCACTTTTTTTGCTCACACGGTATCCCACGAACAGAACACAACTGTTTACGGGACACTGATAAGCGCAATCGGCTGCCGCGTTTCGCCCACAAAATATGCAGTCAATTCACTTTACGGTGTATTCTGTGAAGAGCTTTGAGACGTCTTATCAAATGCATAGGATTATCGAGAGGGAAAATCTGCATCATTCCTCAGCTGGTGGAATTATATTACTTCCTGCTTGCGACACACTAGGTTAGAAACAGCATTTCCCTGAAACTCCACCCAGATTACCGACGAGACACTGTCAGCCGCAGCTTGTGGGAGCAAAACCAGAAAGAATTAACATATTCAATCTACTGGCTCCAGGCTCCCTCAGGCCTTCCTTTATTCTTTACATTTTTATTGTCTTCATTACAGCGCTAAACCCGAGCCTCAAACCAGACGCTTACAATCCTGTCTTATCGTGGAGTCCTGTAGCTTTGGGATGAGAACGCTCGCCTCGCAAGCGAGAGATCTGGGTTCCATTCCCGGGCAGGGCGCGAAACATTGGCCAAGTTTCCTCACCCCACATGCCTCTGTTTACCGAGCAATACGTAGGAACCTGGTTGTTAGTCGATTGGCGGATCTCTTTTCCGGGGGTAATAACTCCTGTGAGACGTCTCGAAGATGTGATAAGGCACGATATCAAATGCAAGGATTATTATTCCATGAGAATCCCATGGAGACTTTACTGACTTATTCCAGCCCCGACACAAAAACAGTCGCACAGCCCACCTCACCTGCCGGGCTCCGGGTGTCTTTGTTTCCTGATTGGAGACTGTTTTCTTCAGTTGTGTGGCCCATTTCTCCGGAACCAGTCTCATTTAGAAAGGCTTATGTTGTTTCCAATTTAACATTCGCAAGTGAAGGATAGGAACTGGGCTGCGCACGAGCTCTCGCACAGGCTCGGGGGCAGGTACACACTGGCACAGCACAGCTCTGTGTAAGATGATCCTTCAGTGGTCTCCAGGGAGAGGCGATAGAAACCAAACCTGTTGGGTGATATTTACTGGAGGTATTATGCAAAGTGGGTGTGACTGTCTCACCTGATCAGTCGCTCACCTCAACGCATCCAATTTAAATCAACTGAGCTTTGACATACTTTTGTCCACACAAAAGTACACGCTCACAACACCGCTTTCTTTCTGCAGTAAATAATAACAATAATAATAATAATCCTTGCATTTGATATAGCGCTTTTCACATCGGGAGGACGTCCCAAAGCGCTTCACAGAACACACTGTAAAGTGAATTGACTGTATATTTGTGGGCGAACGCGGCAGCCAATTGCGCACAGCAATGTCCCACAAACAGTCGTGGATTGAAAATGACCAATTTATTATTGTTTGTGGTTTTGGAGGGATTATTATTAGGCTCTGTGTGGAGTAAGGAAACTTGCCCGAGGTTTGGCCCTGACCCCCCGGGGATTGAACTCAGGTCTCTCACTCGCAAAGCGAGTGCTCCAACCACTGAGCTACAGGACTCCATATCTTGGTGAAGCGCTTTGAGACGCCTCAGTGACGTGACGCGGAGCGCAATGTGAGCTGAGTTTCGTGTTGTTTGCTGCTGTTGATGTTTGAAACGCTCGGGCTCCTGTGACGCGCTGGTCTCCTTGTACGGTTTATACATGTTCAGGGGACGGCGCGGTGCGGTGCAGTGCAGCGTGGCGGTGCGGCACGGTTTGGTGCAGTGCGATGCAGTGCGGTGCGGCGCAGTGGTGCGGTGCGGTGCAGCGGTGCGGTGCAGTGGTGCGGTGTGGTGCAGCGGTGCGGTGCAGCGGTGCGGTGCAGCGGTGCGGTGCGGTGCAGTGGTGCGATGTGGTGCAGCGGTGCGGTGCAGCGGTGCGGTGCAGCGGTGCGGTGCAGCGGTGCGGTGCGGTGCAGCGGTGCGGTGCAGCGGTGCGGTGCAGCGGTGCGGTGCAGCGGTGCGGTGCAGTGGTGCGGTGTGGTGCAGCGGTGCGGTGCAGCGGTGCGGTGCAGCGGTGCGGTGCAGCGGTGCGGTGCAGCGGTGCGGTGCGGTGCAGCGGTGCGGTGCGGTGCAGCGGTGCGGTGCGGTGCAGCGGTGCGGTGCAGCGGTGCGGTGCAGCGGTGCGGTGCAGCGGTGCGGTGCAGTGGTGCGGTGTGGTGCAGCGGTGCGGTGCAGCGGTGCGGTGCGGTGCAGCGGTGTGGTGCAGCGGTGCGGTGCGGTGCAGCGGTGTGGTGCAGCGGTGCGGTGCGGTGCAGCGGTGCGGTGCAGCGGTGCGGTGGTGCGGTGCAGCGGTGCGGTGCGGTGCAGCGGTGTGGTGCAGCGGTGCGGTGCGGTGCAGCGGTGCGGTGCAGCGGTGCGGTGCGGTGCAGCGGTGCGGTGCAGCGGTGCGGTGCAGCGGTGCGGTGTGGTGCTATGCGGTGCGGCGGTGTGAGAGCGCACCGAGGAGTGAGCGAGTGAGCGAGTGAGCGAGTGAGCGAGTGAGCGAGTGAGCGAGTGAGTCAGTGAGCCGGACGCTCCGGGTTCGGTTCCTGAGCGGCAGTGTCCTCGCTCCACGCGTTAGCCTCGGCAGTGCACAGGGACCGGGTATCGGGCCATCGGCGGCTATAACAATAACAACAATAACAATAACAATAATAATAACAATAACAATAACAATAACAATAACAATAACAATAACAATAACAATAACAATAATAATAATAATAACAATAACAATAACAATAATAACAATAATAATAAAATAATAACAATAATAACAATAACAATAACAATAACAATAACAATAACAATAACAATAATATAACAATAACAATAATAATAACAATAACAATAACAATAACAATAATAACAATAATAATAACAATAATAACAATAATAATAACAACAACAATAACAATAACAATAATAATAACAATAACAATAACAATAACAATAATAATAACAATAACAATAACAATAACAATAACAATAATAACAACAATAATAATAACAATAACAATAACAATAATAATAACAATAACAATAACAATAACAATAACAACAACAATAATAACAATAACAATAACAATAACAATAATAATAACAACAGTGACGGCGCCCCCCCCTCCCCCCCGGCCCCGCCCTCCGCCCCCCCGGCCCCGCCCTCCGCCCCCCGGCCCCGCCCTCCCCTCGGCTCCGCCCCTCCGCCCGGCCCCGCCCTCCACACCCCCTCCGCCCCCGGCCCCGCCCTCCGCCCCGCCCTCCCCTCGGCTCCGCCCCGCCCCCCGACCCCGCCCCTCGGGCTGTGATTGGCCGCCGCTCCGCGGGAGGCGGTTCGGGGTTTATTTAAACCGAAGCGAAGTGTCTCCGGAGCCACAACTGCCGCCACAGCTCCGACCCCTCAACCCTCAGCCCCTCAGCCCCTAAACCCTCAGCCCCTCAACCCCTCAACCCTCAGACCCTCAGCCCCTAAACCCTCAGCCCCTCAACCCCTCAACCCTCAGACCCTCAGCCCCTCAGCCCCTCAACCCTCAGCCCCTCAACCTTCAGCCCCTCAACCTTCAGCCCCTAAACCCTCAGCCCCTCAACCCTCAGCCGCTCAACCCTCAGCCCTCAGCCCCTCAGGCAACATGTTCGTCGTCAAGAGAGGTAACAACACACAGCCCCGGGGGGGGGGGGGGACACACACAGCCCCGGGGACACACCACACACACACACAGCCCCGGGGACACACACACACACACACACAGCCCCGGGACACACACACACACACACACAGCCCCGGGGGGGGGGGGACACACACACACACACACAGCCCCGGGGGGGGACACACACACACACACACACAGCCCCGGGGGGGGACACACACACACACACACACAGCCCCGGGGGACACACACACACACACACACAGCCCCGGGGACACACACACACACACACACACAGCCCCGGGGGGGGGGGACACACACACACACAGCCCCGGGGGACACACACACACACACACACACAGCCCGGACACACACACACACACACAGCCCCGGGGGGGGGGGGGACACACACACACACACAGCCCCGGGGGGGGGGGGGGACACACACACACACACAGCCCCGGGGGGGGGGGGACACACACACACACACAGCCCCGGGGGGGGGGGGGACACACACACACACACACAGCCCGGCACACACACACACACACACACAGCCCCGGGGGGGGGGACACACACACACACACACACAGCCCCGGGGGGGGGGGGGGACACACACACACACACACACAGCCCCGGGGGGGGGGACACACACACACACACACACAGCCCCGGGGGGGGGGGGGGACACACACACACACACACACAGCCCGGGGGGGGGGACACACACACACACAGCCCCGGGGGGGGGGGGACACACACACACACACACACACACAGCCCCGGGGGGGGGGTGACACACACACACACACACACACACCAGCCCCGGGGGGGGGGACACACACACACACACACACACACACAGCCCCGACACACACACACACACACACACAGCCCCGGGGGGGGGGGGGGACACACACACACACACAGCCCCGGGGGGGGGGGGACACACACACACACAGCCCCGGGACACACACACACACACACACACAGCCCCGGGGGGGGGGACACACACACACACACACACAGCCCCGGGGGGGCACACACACACAGCCCCGGGGGGGCACACACACACAGCCCCGGGGGGGGGGGGACACACACACACTGAGGGTTGGGGTGAGGGTTGGGGTTGGGGTGAGGGGTGGGGTGAGGGTTGGGGTGAGGGTGAGGGGTTGGGGTGAGGGTGAGGGTTGGGGGGTGAGGGTTGGGGTGAGGGTGAGGGGTGAGGGGTGGGGGGGTGAGGGGGTGAGGGGTGGGGGGGTGAGGGGGTGAGGGGTTGGGAGGGGTGGGGGGTGAGGGGGTGAGGGGTTGGGGTGAGGGATGGGGTGAGGGTGAGGGTGAGGGGTTTGGCGGCGGCAGCGCAGGGCCGCGGGAGGCCTCAGGCTTCTCTACCGTTACTCCATCTGCCGCCAAAACTGCAGAGAAACGGCGGGAGAGAGAGAGGTGGACTGGGGGGGAGAGAGGGGGGGGGGAGAGGGGGGGGACTGGGGGGGAGAGAGGGGGGGACTGGGGGGAGAGAGGGGGGGACTGGGGGGTAGAGAGGGGGGAGAGAGGGGGGGGACTGGGGGGGAGACAGAGGGGGGGGGACTGGGGGGGAAGAGGGGGACTGGGGGGGAGACAGAGGGGGGGGACTGGGGGGGAGAGAGGGGGGGACTGGGGGGGAGAGAGGGGGACTGGGGGGGAGACAGAGGGGGGGACTGGGGGGAGAGGGGGGAGACAGCGGGGGGGGGGCTGGGGGGGAGAGAGAGGGAGGGGACTGGGGGGGAGAGAGGGGGACTGGGGGGAGACAGAGGGGGGGGGAGAGAGGGGGCAGACAGAGGGGGGGACTGGGGGGAGACAGAGGGGCGGACTGGGGGAGAGAAGGGGGGGGGAGAGAGAGGGGGGGGACTGGGGGAGAGAGAGGGGGGGACTGGGGGGACAGAGAGAGGGGGACTGGGGGGAGAGAGGGGGGACTGGGGGAGAGAGAGGGGGGGACTGGGGGAGAGAGAGAGGGAGGGGACTGGGGAGAGAGAGGGGGGGACTGGTGGGGGGAGATGGGGTGGTGCAGGACATGGGGGAGGGGGAATTGGGGTGGAGACGGGGAAGGTGGGCAGACGGGGGAAGTGACGGGGAGATAAGGGGAGATGGGGGAGGGGAGGAGACGGGGAGATAGGTGGAGACGGGGGAGGGGAGGAGATGGGGGGGAGACGAGATGGGGGGAGACTGGGGAGGCGAGAGGGGTTGCGGTGGTTAATGCATGGTGAGAGGGGCCGGGGTGGGGGGGGAGAGAGACTGGAGTCGGGGGGGGTGGGGGGAGGATACCCAGGTTGTGTGAGAGGGGAACGCCCTGAGGGTCGGGGTGCGACTTAACGTGAGACACAATGACTGTGACAGATGGACGTCAGGAACGTGTGATGTTTGACAAGATCACGTCTCGCATTCAGAAACTCTGCTATGGCCTGAACCCAGACTTTGTGGACCCGGTGAGTGGCTAATACACCCGTCCCGATCATATTAACATAGTCATCACACACCAACTAGTGTACGTTACTAGGTCTGACTACTAACTCACTATGGAGTCCTGTGGCTCAGCGGTGAGAGCACTCGCTTTGCAAGTGAGAGACCTGAGCTCAATCCCCGGGGGGTCAGGGCCAAACCTCGGGCAAGTTTCCTTACTCCACACAGAGCCTAATAATAATCCTCCAAAACCACAAACAATAATAAATTGGTCATTTTCAATCTACGACTGTTTGTGGGACATTGCTGTGCGCAATTGGCTGCCGCGTTCGCCCACAAATATACAGTCAATTCACTTTACAGTGTGTTCTGTGAAGCGCTTTGGGATGTCCTCCCGATGTGAAAAGCGCTATATCAAATGCAAGGATTATTATTATTATTATGTAGGTAAGTTTAACATTACCTCTTTGCTTTTACATTGTATGCCCCTATTCATAAAGTTTAAGCTTCCAATAGCTCCCAAATTTGTATAGTTCACAACTGTCTGCATTAAATTTGCCATTTCTCTGCCCGTGTCCGCCTGAGGTTGGCTGCAATCTTCACTATTGACCACACTCCCCGTTGTGTCATCTGCAAACAGAGATTAATAAAATAATAATCTTTGCATTTGATATAGCGCTTTTCACGTCGGGAGGACGTCCCAAAGCGCTTCACAGAACACACTGTAAAGTGAATTGACTGTATATTTGTGGGCGAACGCGGCAGCCAATTGCGCACAGCAATGTCCCACAAACAGTCGTGGATTGAAAATGACCAATTTATTATTGTTTGTGGTTTTGGAGGATTATTATTAGGCTCTGTGTGGAGTAAGGAAACTTGCCCGAGGTTTGGCCCTGACCCCCCGGGGATTGAACTCAGGTCTCTCACTCGCAAAGCGAGTGCTCTAACCGCTGAGCTACAGGGCTCCACAGATTCTGTTGCTTGTACCAGAATCCAGATCACTTATATAAATGGAGAAAAGCAGTGGCCCTGACACTGACCTCGGAGTATCACTATTTACATCTACATTGTCAACAACAACCCTGGATGCCCACATTCTGTTTCCTATCACTTAACCTTGCGGTTCCCAAACTATCTGGGCTGAAGGCCCCATGATGTTAGGCATCCTGACTGAGGCCCCCCCCACCTCACAGCCCCCATTCCGCATACGATAAACCATAAACATTTGAGTATCGTCAACAGTGCTGAGGAGAGCTGCTTGGGAACGTGCCTTTCGCTCCTGCTTGCTGGGAGCGTGGCTCCTCTTGGCTCTGGCACAGATTCGCTGTTCCCTAAGCCCTCGCTGGAATCATACGACTTGTGTTATACACAAAGTGTTTGGAGCCCAATTCCTCATCAGACAACTGTACTGCGTTACTGTGAGTCCGCCCTGGGCTGGGAGGTGGTTGATAGGCATCTTGGGTAGATCAGTGCTGAGTGAGACCCACCCTCTGTGGCGGTACTCATCTGGGCCTTGTCTAACAGACCAGCTGCGTCCTGATGTGAAAGGCACAGTATAAATGCAATGTTATTGTTGTAGAGGGATCGCCGCTACCTGGTGTCTGGGCCTCCAGGTTGCCCATCATTGTTATTCAGCACCACAAAAGGCTGCCCTGACATACCTTTTACTCGACCCGTGACCCCATGACAGACACGCTGGCCAACTTTCTGTGCTTGGTCATGTTGGTGTCCCTCAGATTGTCTAGGAATGGAATGTGTAGCCATCCTCCTCGTTGGTATATGGTGTCTCATCGTCAGTGGGCAGAGGAGTGATCCTTGGGCTGAGGAGCTGTTTATCCTGCGGGTCAGCCCAAGGCTGGGGTCCAGACACAGCGCGATGAAATCATCTCATGCTTGATTTGGCTCTCCGGGGAGAGAGTGCATCTCAATCCAGACGCATTCCATCTGTGGGTGGCATGCGTGCAGACACACAAACACACACACACACACACGTGTAACTTAGTCACGCTCTTAAACACCATGATGGGTTTCTGCATGTCTCAGAACCCGTCTGGTGACTCAACTTGGTCTTTGTTTAGTGTGGTAAACTGGCCAGGTGGAATCCTGTAGCTTAGTGATTAGCACGCTTGCCTCATAAGCAAAACAACCTGGGTTTCATTCCCAGACAGGACGAAACCCTAGGCATAGTTTTGAATGGCATATCTGGGGCTGTGCACTTTGGGACGTCCTCCCGGCACGATGTAATGTTTGATGTGTGAGATTATCTATAAATTGTGTTGTGCTTTTCCAAACCTTCCTGTAGATGATGATCAATCAGCTGAACTGAGTGCATCATATGATAATCCTTGCATCTGATATAACAACAACAAAATTACATTTGTGTAGCGCTTTTCAGGTCAGGAGGACGTCCCAAGGCGCTGGACAGTCAGAATTTCGGACACGAGCTGGTGGTCAGGATCAGGGAGGGTGGAGGGCAGGGGGGCAAGCAGGGAGATTGAAAGCATGGTCGAAGAGGAGGATCCTGAGACGGGTCTTGAAGGAGGTGAGGGAGGGGGCGAGACGGAGGGAGCGTGTGATGGTTTTCCAGAGGGTAGGGGCAGAGGCAATAGTGGGGCAAGCGAGGAGGGGAGCGTGAGGCAGGCTGGAGCCAGCTGAGCAGAAGGGGCGAACAGGATGGTAGGGGGCTATAGGAGAAGCCGTTTGTGGAGATGAAATGGAGGTGGTGTGAGAAGTATATTGAATGAACTAATCAAAGACAGAGCCATGAAGGTTGAGCTGAGAGGAGAGGCGATGGATTGGGGAGAGTGGTCGACGGTGTCACGGGCAGCAGAGAGGTCAAGGAGGACGAGGAGGCAGAGGGAGCCCTGGTCACAGATTGAAAGGATGTCATTTGTCACTTTGACCGGGGCTGTTTCTGTGCTGTGGGCGGCACGGAAACCCGATTGGAAGGGTTCGTGAAGGGAGTAGTGGGAAAGGAAGGAGCAAAGCTGGGAAGCAACAACTCTTTCCAGTACCTTGGAGACGAAACGGAGGTTGGAAATGGGGCGGTAGTTTGAGATTAGAGATGGGTCGAGGGAGGGTTTTTTGAGGAGTGATGACAGCTGTTTTTAAAGAGGTGAGAACAGTACCAGTGGAAAGGGAGAGGTTTATGATATCTGAGTAGTGGGGCAAGGATCTGGAGCTGGGAGGTGAGGAGAGGGATGGGGATGAGGTTGAGGGAGCAGGTGGTTGGTTTTAAGCAGGTTATAGTGGTGGTGAGAGAAGAGTGGGAAATAGGTTCGAAGGTGGGGAGGGAGGGATGGGTAGGGGCTGAGGTGAGGGGGGAGGTGGGGAGGGTAGTAGATGGAAGGGCAGAGGCAGCTGAGCGGATCCCCTCGACTTTGGATTCGAGGAAGTCTTGCATCACCTCGCAGTTAGCATTGGAAGTGAGGATGGGCAGCGTGAGAGAGCGTCTTATCACATCTTCGAGACATCTCAAAACGCTTCATAGAATATCCTGTAACATCAATTGACTGTATATTTTGTGGACATGTGGACATTTCAGTTATGAGGAGAGGCTAGGGAAGCTATTATTCTCCTTGGAGCAGAGAAGGTTAAGAGGAGACTTAGAAGTTTTCAAAATGATGAGGGGATTCGATAGGGTGAACAAGAAGAAACTATTCCCACTGGCGGGTGGGTCGGTAACCCCAGGACACCGATTTAAAATAGTTGTTAAAAGAAACAGAGGGGAGGGGAGGAGAAATATTTTCACAGCGAGTTGTTGGGATCTGGAATGCGTTGCCTGAAAGGCCGGTGGGAACCGATTCCATAACAACAAGAGAGAAGCAGATAATTATTTGGGGAGGACAAGTTTGCAGAGCTATGGAGAGAGCGCGCGGGAGTGGGGTTGATCAGGGCTGTGGGGAGAGAGTGGGGGAGTGGGGTTGATCAGGGCTATGGGGAGAGAGTGGGGGAGTGGGGTTGATCAGGGCTATGGGGAGAGTGGGGGAGTGGGGTTGATCAGGGCTATGGGGGGAGTGGGGAGTGGGGTTGATCAGGGCTATGGGGAGGGAGTGGGGGAGTGGGGTTGATCAGGGCTGTGGGGGAAGAGTGGGGGAGTGGGGTTGATCAGGGCTATGGGGGGGGAGTGGGGGAGTGGGGTTGATCAGGGCTATGGGAGGGAGTGGGGGAGTGGGGTTGATCAGGGCTATGGGGAGGGAGTGGGGGAGTGGGGTTGATCAGGGCTGTGGGGAGGGAGTGGGGGAGTGGGGTTGATCAGGGCTGTGGGGGAGAGTGGGGGGTTGACGGGTTGATCAGGGCTATGGGGAGAGTGGGGGAGTGGGGTTGATCAGGGCTGTGGGGGAGAGTGGGGGAGTGGGGTTGATCAGGGCTGTGGGGAGAGAGTGGGGAGTGGGTTGATCAGGGCTTTTCGGAGAGAGTGGGGGAGTGGGGTTGATCAGGGCTATGGGGAGGAGTGGGGGAGTGGGGTTGATCAGGGCTATGGGGAGGAGTGGGGGAGTGGGGTTGATCAGGGCTGTGGGGAGGGAGTGGGGGAGTGGGGTTGATCAGGGCTGTGGGGGAGGGAGTGGGGGAGTGGGGTTGATCAGGGCTGTGGGGAGGAGGGGGGGAGTGGGGTTGATCAGGGCTGTGGGGAGGGAGTGGGGGAGTGGGGTTGATCAGGGCTTTGGGGAGGGAGGGGGGAGTGGGGTTGATCAGGGCTATGGGGGGAGTGGGGAGTGGGGATCAGGGCAGGGGGAGTGGGGTTGATCAGGGCTGTGGGGAGGGAGTGGGGGAGTGGGGTTGATCAGGGCTGTGGGGAGGGAGTGGGGGAGTGGGGTTGATCAGGGCTGTGGGGAGAGTGGGGGAGTGGGGTTGATCAGGGCTGTGGGGAGGGAGTGGGGGAGTGGGTTTGATTTGAAAGCTCTTTTCAAAGAGCAGCACAGACAGGATGGGCCGAATGGCCTCGTTCTGTGCTGTATAATTCTATGATTCTATGATGTGTCCTCCAGGCGCAGATTACAATGAAGGTGATTCAGGGCCTGTACAGTGGGGTCACCACTGTTGAGCTGGATACATTGGCAGCAGAAACCGCTGCTACCCTGACAACCAAGCACCCCGACTACGCCATCCTGGCTGCACGCATTGCTGTCTCCAACCTGCACAAGGAAACCAAAAAAGTGTTCAGTGGTGAGTTAGTGTGTCACACAACTTAATTTCCTGGCCTGTGGGACCTGGTTTGGGCTGATGTGCAGTTCTATTGAGAACAGGATTGGTTGATCATAGCCCTGATCAACCCCACTCTCCCGCCATAGCCCGGATCAATGTACATTTTATTCACATGTCAATTTGGAGCTTGATGATAGAGACTCACAGCACAGAAGGAAGCCATTTAGCCTATTGGCTCAAGTGAACAAGTTCCTTCAATCTCACTGCCCCGCCCTTTCCCCACACTCCTTCAACCCTATCAAACTTTTGTTTTCGTACCTGCCTACTTCCCTCTTGACATCCACAGTGGACTGTGTCTCCACCACCTTACTTGGCAGAGCATCCCACATCCCAGCAGCGGTGTAAAAACTGATGACCTAACTTCTCCAATCGGGTTTCTGTGCTGCCCAGAAACAACTTTGGTTAAAGTGACAAATGACATTTTGTCCATCTGCAACCAGGGCTCCCTCGTCCTCCTTGACATCTCCACTGCCTTCGATACCGTTGACCACTCTATCCTTCACCGCCTCTCCTCTCACCTCAACATTCATGGTTCTGCCCTTGAATGGTTCAGATCCTGTCTCTCACACCGTCTCCACTTCATCTTCACAAATGTTTTTTCCTCTAGCCCCCGCAGTGTCTCGTGCGGTGTTCTTCAGGGCTCTGTTCTTGAACCCCCACCTCTTCAATATGCTCCCTCTTGGTGATATAATCCGCAGACATGGATTACACTTACACTTCCACATATACGTGGATGATACCCAACTCTACCTCTATGCCTCCACCCTTGATACGAGTACCATTGCTGTGCTGACAGAATGTCTGTCATCAAGTCCTGGATAAGAGCTAACTTTCTACAGTTGAACGTCACCAAGAACAAGGCTCTGCTGATTGGCTCCCGTCAGCGCCTCCTCACCTCAGGCGCTGATAGCATCACCATCCATGGACGCACACTCCACCTTACTAAGCCAGTCTGTAACCTTGGCATCTTGTCTGACCGTCAAATATCCTTTCTACCCCACATCCATGCCATGTCCCGCTCTGCCTTCCCCCACCTCCACAACATCGCTTGGCTCCGCTACTGTCTCACTCCGCAGGCCCCCGAGACGCTCACACATGCATTCATAACATCCAGACTCGACTATGCAAACCTCTTGCTTGTCAGCCTCATCAACTGCTCCCTCCATAAGCTGCAGATCATCCAGACCTCTGCAGCCCCTCTCCTGCACCGGGCTCCGTGACCCTATCACCCATCCTCACCCGATTCCACTGGCTTCTCATCACACAGGACACAAGGTCCTGGTCTTCAGCTTCAAAGCCCTCCATGGCCTTGCTCTCCCCTATCTCTGCGACTTTCTAACCCCCACCAACCTGCCCACTCCTTCAGCTCAGCGGTCTCCGGCCTGCTTCACATCCCCCACCTCGTCCACTGCACTATTGGCGGACGGGCCTTCTGCAAATCTTTCTCCATCCTCTGGAACTTCATTACGTGGTCCATCCACCTCGTCCCTCCTATGCCTCCTTCAAGACCCATTTTAAGATTCTCCACTTCGACCCCGCCTTTGATTACTCTGCTTCCCCCCACCCCCACCCACTCACCCGCCCTGATCCCGACCCCCAGCTCAGGTCTGAATCACCGATCTCCAGCGCCTTCGGACGTTCTCCTGACGTGAAATGTGCTATACAAATATAATTTTGTTGTCATTGTTTTCTAAGATTATAGACCTCACTGCGCCAGTCTGGAACCTTGGCGTCTTGTTTGACCCTCAACTGTCCTTTCTACCCACATCCGTGCCATGACCCGCTCTGCCTTCCCCCATCTCAGCAACATCGTCCTCTCCACCACTGCTTCAGGCCGCCGAAACCCTCATTCACGCATTCATAACATCTAGGCTCAACTACACCAATTCCCTGCTTGTCGCCCTCTGGAACTCTTCCCTCCACAAGCTGCAGATCATCCAGAACTCTGCAGCTCATGTCCTCTCCCGCACCAGGCTCCGTGACCCATCACCCCCACCTTCGCCCACTCTACTGTGTCTCCATCCCTTAGAGATTAGAGTTCAAAATTCTCATCCTCACCTTCAAGGCACGTGGTGACCTTCCTACTTCTGTTACCCGCTAACCCCTTATCAACCTGTCCGCTCAGCAGGCTCTGGCCTGCTCCACGTCCCCTTCCTGGCCCACCTCACCGTTCGCGGTCGGGACGTCAGCTTCTGATGTCTGGAACGTCATCCCACAGTCCCTTTGACTCGCTCCCCCAGTTGCCTCCTTCAAGGCCCGTCTCAAAACCCTCTTTTACCGTGCATTTGGTAACCTTCCAACCTCCCTTATCCCCCTCCCGCCTCCCCCACACCACCCTGCTCGTGTCCAAATCCCTGATTGTCCAGAGCCTTGGGACATCCTCCCGATGTGAAGGGCGCTGCGTATGCAATTTTGTGAAACAGCTTTTCCCTATTCCCCTGTCAAAACTGCTCATAATTTAGTATATTATCATCGTAACTGTAACCGGTCCCCTCTCAATATTTTCTGCTCCATTGAAAACAGACCCCAAATTCTCTAATCTCCAGATAACTAAAGCCCTCATCCCCAATGTCCTCTACTCCCTTCAAAGCCTTAACAGCCTTCCTGGAGTGAAGTACCCTAAATGAACCGAGTGCTTCAGTTGTGGCCAAACAACAACAATTTGCATGTAAATAATGCTCTTCATGCGGGAGAGTGTCCTGAACGCTTGACAATGGCGGCGTTTGACCCCGGGCCTGAGGGAGAGGTGGGGAGGTGACCGTGATTCAAAAGCAAGGTCTTTAGGTGGGATTTGAACATGAGGGGGGAGGGAGCAAGGCGGAGGGATTGAGGGAGAGAGTTCCAGAATTTCGGGGAGTAGTGGCTGAAGGCATGGCCACTGATGGTGGAGGGGACAAGGGACAAATAGAAGACCGGAGCCAGCCGATGGGGAGTGGGGGCTAAACAAATCGGATAGTTATGGAGGAGCGAGGGCATGAAGCGTTTTGAAAATGAGTGAGAGGATCTTAAGAAAATAAGAATTTGTTTGGTGAAAGAAGACCAAGGTCCATCTAGTTTGCTTGACATGTCGTCTCCCAGATGATCCATTGTATCTCGATATATTATTTTCTATCAGAAATATACCTAATTTATTCTTGAAACAAATAACATTTTCTGCTTCCACTGTCTCCCTCGGGAGCCTGTTCCATAAGTTTACTACTTGCTCACTGAAGTAGTTCTTCACAGATTTGTTCTCAATTTGCCCCCCAGGCTGTATCCTGTGGTTCTGCTGTTCAGTACAAGTTAAAACAGCTTATCACAGTCCTACTTATCTTGTCCCTTCAGAATCTTAAAGTCAATAATCATATTGCCACTCAACCTTCTCTTGCCCCGTGTGAACATTCCCAGTTTATCTAATCGCTTGTCATAATCCAGTCCTTCCATCCCCTCAATTATTTTGGTTGCCCTTCTCTGTATCCTCTCAATCATTGCAATTTCCTTTTCATATTTGGGTGACCAGAACTGCACACAGTATTCCAATCGCGATTGCACCAGTGATTTATAAAGTGACAGGATTATCCCACTCTTTTGGCTCAATACTGCCCTTTTAATACAGCTCAGCATCTGGTTTGCATGACTTTCTGCTACTGAGCACTGTTGGGTTCAATTTATTATCAATCAGGATCCCCAGGTCTTTTTCATTTTCCGATCTTGAAGTCGATACGTTCAGTAATTGGGAGCCGGTGGAGCCAGGCAAGGACTAGCTTGCTGGGGTTTGTACACACAGCATTATCGCTTATTATAGTGTAAAACCCAGGGAACCAGGGCTTTTCGCAGCCTTCTCAGTTGGTGCTGCCACTTTCAGGGACTTGTGAACTTATGCTTCAAAATCCCTTTACTCCTCTGCTACTTGCAAGTTATTGAATGTTAATGAATATTCAATATTTACTCTCTACTCTTGTTTTTTTTCTGCCAAAATGAATCGCCTCACATTTTGCTTCATCTGCCACTGATCTGCCCATTACTGTAATTATTTACGGTTAGTTTTGTTTGTATGAATTCATGTTTGCTGTCTGGCTTTCTATTGCAGAGGTGATGGATGATCTGTACACCTACGTGAACCCTCTGAACAATAAGCACTCGCCTATGATCTCTAAGCAAACTCTTGAGTTGGTGCTGAAGAATAAGGAAGTAGGTCACTTTGTGTAAACTATTACTGGCTATTGTCACTGGCCTTGCGAGGGTGTGATGGTTGCACACACATATATTAAGCCTTTCTGACCCTTCTCTTGCAGCGTCTGAACTCTGCCATTATCTATGACCGAGACTTCTCTTACAACTACTTTGGTTTTAAGGTAAGGGTGTTGGGATCATGTTTTTCACCTGAAAATTTTCACATGGATTGTGCTTGCATTTTGTTTGTTTTTAATGCAATTTGTTTTGCAGACCTTGGAACGCTCCTACCTACTGAAAATTAATGGCAAAGGTATGTATGTACAGTTATCTTTGGTAGGACTTAAGTCGAACATTGAAAGCTGTGTGAAGTTGGATTTCTGATTGTTGTGATTGGCCAAGTGTCTGACATACAATATCCTAAACAGCTGAGTTCCACAGATGTATGGAAACTCCACTTTGTCTGGAGTCCAGGGTGCATTCTCCATGGTGGAAAGCGTTCTGCTTAGAAACATAGAATATCTATAATAATAATAATAATAATCCTTGCGTTTTGATATAGCGCTTTTCACGTCTTCTAGACATCTCATAGCGCTTCACAGAATATACTGTAAAGTGAATTGACTGTATATTTGTGGGCGAACGCGGCAGCCAATTGCGCACAGCAATGTCCCACAAACAGTCGTGGATTGAAAATGACCAATTATTATTGTTTTGTTTTGGAGGGATTATTATTAGGCTCTGTGTGGGTGGAGTAAGGAAACTTGCCCAAGGTTTCGCCCTCTGCCTGGAATTGAACCCAGGTGTCTCGCTCACAAGGCAAGTGCTCTAACCCGAGCTTCAGGACTCCACACTGATACCAGGAAGCAGTTTGGCCTATGTCATCTGCTGGTCTTTGCTCCTCCAAAATGCCATTCACTCAAACCTCAGTCTTTCCCTCTAAAACCCTTCCCTGGATCTTTGTCAAATGCCCCATTTGGCTCGAACATCCAGCCAGCGGGTGTTGTAAGAAGAAGCCATTGGTGTAGACAAATGGACACCGTGGACAGGATAAGGCTATACAATTAGTAATGTTCTTAGAGGTTTTGCAACTGGGGGCATGGAGTACAAAAGGACAAGTTGATGAGGAGCTTGCACATCATCCTCTCCTTACCTCACACCTCCACCTCCTGGCCCCTCTTAACCAACATCATGTGGAGTCCTGTAGCTCAGTGGTTAGAGCACTCGCTTTGCAAGTGAGAGACCTGAGTTCAATCCCCGGGGGGTCAGGGCCAAACCTCGGGCAAGTTTCCTTACTCCACACAGAGCCTAATAATAATCCTCCAAAACCCAAAACAATAACAAATTGGTCATTTTCAATCTACGACTGTTTGTGGGACATTGCTGTGCGCAATTGGCTGCCGCGTTCGCCCACAAATATACAGTCAATTCACTTTACAGTCTGTTCTGTGAAGCGCTTTGGGACGTCCTCCCGACGTGAAAAGCGCTATATCAAATGCAAGAAGTATTATTATTATCAACAACAACAAGATTACATTTGTATAATGCCTTTCACGTCCCTGGACCCATCACTACTGTCCAGCTATCGACCCATCCCCAAACTCCCGTTCCTCTTCAAGGCCCTGGAACGACTTGTTCATTCCAGGGCCTTCGCTTCGCTCTTTCCCTTTCCGCCATTCTCTCTATGAACCCCTCACTCTCTCACTCACTCCCTCACTCGCTCCCTCATTCATTCCTCTCTGGAGTTAGAGCACTCCCCTGCTCAAGCAAGAGACCTGGGTTCGATTCCCAGCAGGGTGAAACCTTGGGTAAGTTTCCTTACTCCACACGCCTGATAATAATCCCTCAAGAGAAAAACAGCAATAATAAATTGGTCATTTTCAATCCACGACTGTTTGTGGGACGTTGCTGTGCGCAATTTGCTGCACATTTGCCCACAAATATACAGTCAATTCACTTTACAGCATATTCTGTGAAGCGCTTTGAGACGTCTTGAAGAAAAGCGTTATATCAAATGCAAGGATTATTATTTTTTATTATTACCTCTCTCACCGTCTCTATTTTGTCTCCACTAACAGCTTCCCCTCCAGTCCTCACAGCGTCAAGTGTAGCTTCCCTCAGGGCTCTGCTCTTGGTCCCCTCCTTTCCAACATTTACATGCTCCCTTTTGGTGACATCATCTGTAGACATGGGGTCCGAGGAAGAGAGGGCATTTGTGAGGGACTCGGGGAAGCTTTTGCCAGGGGAGGAAAAAGATGGTGGAGGGCTTGGAAGAGGGGAGGGGGTTGTGAGAGGAAAGGGAGATGAGGAAGTGGTCTGAGATGGCCTTGTGGTTAATGGACAGGTCAGAAATGTCAAGACCATGTGTAATGATGAGATCGAGGGAGTGGCCTCGTTTGTGGGTCGGCGAATTGATGTGGAGGGTGAGGTTTAGGGAGGAGAGGAGAGCATTGAAATCCGCGGAGGTGGTGCAAGGGGAGTTTAGGTGGAGGTTAAAGTCACCTATTGTGAGAGGTGTTCAGTTCAGAGGGACAGAGATGAGAGGAGATATCAGTGAGGGAAGGAGTCAGGAGTTTTGGGGGTGGGGCGGTGGTAAACTAGGACAGTTGGGGCGGCTGCTCTGGGACAACCAATGCCGGGAGCCACGATGGGTGTGGTGGAGGATGCGCAGGCTGAAGCAGAGGGACATAATGGTGGGGTCCAGGAGAAAGAAGGCGAGGAGGGTGGTGGGAGAAGAGGACAGAATGGGAGTAGCGGAGTGTGTGGGTAGGAGCAGGAATTTTTTTTTTAGTGGGAGCGGGTCTGGCTGGCAGCCAAAGTGCCCACGCAGAGACCAGGAGCGATCAGCGGAGCAGTGTCAGCCCGTGTGCTACGGGAGACAGGGCGGGGATGAGGCGGTTAGTGGGGGCGATGACAATCTTAGCTTAGGTGCCAGAGACAGTGAGAGATAGGAGGGAGGACAAGGTAGAAGAGTAGCAAAATTTACAATATACTTCCATATTTACACTGAAACTGTATTCCATAGGAGTATTTTGAAATGAACATCCTTTTCCTTCCAGCTGTTCCTTTGATTCCTTTTTTTAAAAGAGATCCTAAAATGTCTTTCAGTGGCTGAACGTCCTCAACACATGCTGATGAGAGTGTCTGTTGGAATTCATGAGAGTGACATTGATGCTGTTATTGAAACCTACAACCTCCTGTCTGAGAAGTGGTTTATTCACGCCTCACCCACACTGTTCAACGCTGGCACTAACAGACCACAGCTCTCTAGGTACGGGCATTTACCCAAGAGCTTGGATCGCAGGTTCACGGTAGAAGCTGATCAGCTGGTCTATCCCACACGATCAATTTCCCACAAGATTCCTCAATACATCTCCTGTAGCTCAGTGGTTAGAGCACTTGCCTCACAAGCGATAGACCTGGGTTTGATTCCCGGGCAGGGTGAAATGTTGGGCAAGTTTCCTTACTCCACTCGCCTCTGTTTACCTCGCAATAAGTAGGAATCTGGTTGTTAGTCGATTGGCAAATCGCTTTACTGGGGATAATGATCCCTTCAAAAGATAATGATAATAAGAATTGTTATGGTGACTTAATCCATGACTATTTGTGGGACACTGCTGTGCTCAATTGGCTGCCGCATTTCGCCTATCAAAATATACAGTCAATTCACTTTACTGTTTATTCTGTGAAGCGTTTTGAGATGTCTCGAAGACGTGATAAGGTGCTATATCAATGCAAGTATTATATTGAATACTTTCAGTTAATACAAAATGTGTTTAGTTCATTCTTGGTTTCATCGCCTTCAGTGTTGTAATGTCTAAAGATGTGAGGTAATTCTGTGTGTTAGCCTGACTCCGTTGGTAGCTCTCACTCCTAATTGGAATGTTATGGGTTTAAGCCCAATACTGACTGAATGGCTGACTCTCCAATGCAGTGCTGGGCAAGCCAAAGCCCTGATGGGTAGAGTGGTCCTAGCTGGACAAGCCATGGGAAAACTTACAGTGAAAGCTGCATTATTGGAGGTGTTGTCCTTTGGATGAGATGTTAAACTAAGGCCTTGTCTACCTGTTCAGGTGGACATCAAACATCCTGCAACACTGTTTGAATGAAAAGGGAATTTCTCTCTCCTGGTTTCCTGGCCAACAATTCCCAAGACAAAATTAGTCACTCGCTTCGTGTTTCTGGGATATTGCTGTGTTATGTGGTTATTGGTTACAGTGCTCGCTTCGCACTGAGAGGACCTGGGTTTGATTCCCAGCAGGGTGAAATGTTTGGCAAGTTTCCTTACTCCACACACCTCTGTTTTAAGTGCTCCAGGATGCTACCCTGGGTGCAAGTTATTGTTGTTTACCTAGCAGTAAATACAAACTTGCTTGTAAGTTGATTGGCGGATCGCTTTTCTGGGAGATAATCGTTCCTCCAAAAAAAAAAAATTTGGTTACTCAATCCATGACTATTTGTGGGATACTGCTGTGTGCAATTGGCTGCCATGTTTCACCCACAAAATATCAATTCACTTTACAATACATCAAATGCAACGATTATTATTACCACACTTGTTCTCACTGGATTGCTTTGTGTTGTAGCTGTTTTCTGCTTGCAATGAAAGACGATAGCATTGAAGGGATTTACGACACCTTGAAACAATGTGCTCTGATTTCCAAATCTGCCGGTGGGATAGGAGTAGCCGTCAGCTGCATCCGGGCCACAGGAAGCTACATCGCAGGAGTGAGTACACCATCCTCTGAATTTACAGTTTAAACTGCACTCAACAAAGCGGGGTATCCTTGGAGCTTGTAGACCAGTTCTTGAACCAGATCCGCAGTATTCCAGGGCACTGCTGATGTCAGCACACCCCAGCGTGGCTCATCGGCAGACCAGTCACTGGGGGCAGGAAATCCTCCAACTCAGCTCCTTTAACTCTGTGAGCCAAAGCCCTAATGGGTAGAGTGGTCCGAGCTGGACAAGCCATGGGAAAACTTACAGTGAAAGCTTGTAAGCAATTGGAAAGCTTACAAGCAGCAGTGCTCGCAATGGCAAGCCATGCAGTTTTAGTTGGTTAGACTCCAGCAATACCCTATCGCACAATTTGGGTTCCCCAAGCCTTGGCTCTTCCCAACCTGCACCAAATACTTTCCAGAATTGGTTAATTAGGATTTATCCCTCCAGAGAAAGAGTTTGCATCCCATTCTATCTCTGGAATTTCTATGTATAGGTGGGATTCATGGAACTCTGTTGGGTTTGGATAGTCTTAAGCATAGTGATGGGTTTCCACATGTCAGACATCCGGTTGGCCAAGAAAAATCTTCTTGTGTTTATAAAGCTCCCTCCATGGGACTATTATCTTAGAGCATTTAACAACTGTGTAGTTTGATGCTGAAACTGTAGGAAAACCTGTCAGTGTCTTAACTGAAGGATGGAACCTCCGACAAAGCCATACTCCTCCCAGTATTGTATTAGAATTTCAGACTGAACTGTAAGCTCAAGTTATACAATTTGTACTATACAAAATTTCATTTTTATAGCACCTTTCACATCGGGAGGACATCCCCAGTCAGGGATTTGTATCCAAGCTATGGGAGTTGGGATCAGGGAGGGTGGAGGGCAGGGGGTAGGAGGAATGCTGAAGGTGTGGTCGAAGAGGAGGATCTTGAGATGTGCCTTGAAGGTAGGGAGCGAGCCGAAGGGAATGAGAGTTCCAAAGAGTGGGGGCAGAGAAGCTGAAGGCCTGACCGTAATGGTGGGGTGGGGTGGGCAGGAAACGTGGAGCAGGCCAGAGGATCATATGGGCTTATCAGACCACAGAACTGGGAAGAGGAGGGCATTGAAGATGAGGATGAGGATTTTGAACCCTTGTCATCTGGGTGATGGGGAGACAGTAGAGTGGGCAAGCGTGGGGGTGATGGGGTCGCGGAGCCTGATGCGGGAGAGAACACGAGCTGCAGCATTCTGGATGATCTACAGCTTGAATGAAGAGTTGGGAAGGCCGACAAGCAGGAAATTGGCGCAGTTGAGCCTAGATGTGATATATGGGTAATTTTCTGTGCTGTAATGTTCTATGTTTGATTATAATATTGTAATATTCAATGTTTGATTATAAATGACTTTAGTTCAACATTGTTCCTGACTTCTTCCCCTTCCAGACTAATGGGAACTCCAATGGTCTTGTCCCAATGTTGCGAGTTTACAACAATACAGCCCGTTATGTGGATCAGGGAGGAAACAAGGTCAGTGTGCACTGGTTAGAAAAGCTACAATTACACAGGATTGAGCATCAAAACAAATGGATTTAAGATGTGGTGAAGCTACTTTAGGGTTATGAGTCCTGTAGCTCAGTGGTTAGAGCACTCGCCTTGCAATCAAGGAGACCTGGGTTGGATGCCTGGGCAGGGCGAAATCTTAGGCAAGTTTCCTTACTCTTCTGTTTACCTAGCGGTAAGTAGGAACCCAGTTGTTAGTTGATAGATAAGTAAATAAAAAATAAAGAATTTGGTCACTCAATCCACAACTGTTTTTGGGACACTGCTACATTTCACCCACAAAATAAACAGTCAATTCACTTTACAGTATATTCTGTGAAGCACTTTGCGATGTCTTGAAGACATAAGGTGCCATATCAAATGCAAGGATTTGTAATTGTCTACGTTCTCGTTCATGCAGAGACCAGGTGCTTTCGCCATCTACCTGGAACCGTGGCATCTGGATATCTTTGATTTTTTGGAGTTGAAAAAGAACACTGGGAAAGAGGAGCAGAGAGCACGGGATCTCTTCTACGCCCTCTGGATTCCTGATCTTTTTATGAAACGTGTTGAGAACAACCAGGTAGGAGCTAAGTGAATGGGCTAAAGTGAAGTGATTGTGGGAACCTCGCTGATGGCACACATTATGATGGTATATGTGTTAGTGTGATGTGGAGGCTGTTATCTGGGATGTGGAGGGTCCAGCAGTAATTACAATAGATGTGCAAACTGCAGGGTTTTCAGTACAGATGGATTGTGGGGGAGAGTCCAGAACACCTATACACCTACCCAAGTCCCGTTGAATTTCCTAATAAATCCATTTAATGTATCTGTACCAGTCATGTTAAAAATTGCGCAACTCGTAAAACCTCTACCAAACTTACGGCTGCTGGGTCAAAACTTCATCTGCCCCACCTACCTCAAACATAACGCCCAACATATACCCCCTTCTCTCAGCATCCTCCCTCCTGAGGCGACACATCAACATCAGTGCCCACGCCGGGTTGGGGGGGGGGGGTTGAGGGAGGATAGAGCATCACCTGGAGAGCAAGGCAGACCTGTCTCTGTACATTATGAAGGGAGACTCTGGATTCTCACCCAATGTTTTACCTGGTGCCTCTGCCTTCAAACCTCCTTTAAACATGATTGTTTTCAGGCAGACAGCCAGGCTATAAGCTGCTGTATAAGTCTGGATTATTGTTGAATCTCTGTTCGGAGTTTGTCACATGTTATGTCCATTATTACAGGACTGGTCTCTGATGTGTCCACACGAGTCACCGGGCCTTGATGAAACCTGGGGAGAGGAGTTTGAGAAACTATACGAGAGGTATGACAACGTCAGCAAAGGCCTGCTTCAGATCCCCCTCACTTCCCGCCCCACCATTGGTGGTCGGGCATTCAGCAACAACAGCAAAAGATTCCATTTATAGAGCGCCTTTCACGTCGGGAGGACGTCCCAAGGCGTTGTACAGTTGGGTCAGGACCCGAGCAGGGGGGAAATGGTCAGGGTGAGGGGAGGGAAGGGAGGGTGCGAGGAGGGGGTAGAGAGTCGAGAGGGAGCTGAAGGCACGGTCAAAGAGAAAGGTCTTGAGACCGGCCTTGAAGGAGGAAAGGGAGGAAGCGGCGAAGGCACTGGGGGATGGAGTTCCAGAGCCTCGGGGCTGAGAGGCTGAAGGCCCGGCCACCGATGGTAGGGCGGTTGGGGCGGGGGATGTGGAGCAGACCGGAGCCAGAGGAACGGAGGGTACGGGCAGGTAGGTAGGGGATAGTAGGTCGGAGAGGTAGGAGGGAGCAAGGCCGTGAATGGCCTTGTAGGTGAGGATGAGGATCTTGAATTCGATCCTCTGGGGGATGGGGAGCCAGTGGAGGCGAGCGAGGGGAGCGAGGGTGAGAGTGATGTGGTCGAAGCCTGGTGCGGGACAGTACACGAGCTGCAGAGTTCTGAATGACCTGCAGTGTGGAGGGAGGGCCGGGAAGGCCGGCGAGGAGAGAGTTCCCATAGTCCAGCCTTGAGGTGATAAAGGCGTGGACCAGAGTTTCAGCAGCGTGAGGGGTGAGGTAGTGCCGTAGTCTGGCGATGTTCCGGAGGTGATGGAAGGCGGTGCCAGTTGTGGTGCGGATATGAGGGAGAAAGGACAGCTCAGGGTCGAACAGAACCCGAGGTTCCTGACTGGCTTTGAGAGGTGGAGAGTGCAGCCTTGGATGCTGATGCTGTCAGCGCCTGAGGTGCGGAGGCGCTGACGTGAGCCAATCAGGAGGGCCTCAGTTTTGCGCACGTTGAGCTGAAGAAAGTTGTCTCTCGTCCAGGACTCGATGTCGGACAGGCAGCTGTCAGGACATCGGTGGTCGTGGAGTTGAGGGTAGAGGAGGAAAGGTAGAGTTGGGTGTCATCCGCATACATGTGGAAGTTAACCCCATGTCTGCGGATGATGTCACCACAGGGGGAGCATATAGAGGGTGAAGAGGAGGGGACCGAGGACAGAGCCCTGAGGGACACCGCACGAGACAGTGCGGGGGGGAGGAAAAGCCGTTTGTGGAACAAATGAAGACGGTGGGAGAGGTACGACCTAAACCACTCAAGGACAGGGCCTTGAAGGTTGAGGTGGGAGGACAAGCGGTGGAGGAGGATAGCGTGGTCGACCGTATCGAATGCTGCCGATAGGTCGAGGAGGACGAGGAGGCAGAGGGAGCCCTGGTCACAGATGGTCAGGATGTCATTGGTGACCTTGACCAGGGCAGTTTCTGTGCTATGGGCAGCACGGAAACCCGACTGAAGGGGTTCGAATAATGAATGGGTGGAGAGGAAAGAGCGCAGCTGGGAGGCGACAACTCTTTCAAGGACCTTGGACAGGAAGGGGAGGTTGGAGATGGGCCGGTAGCTTGATAGCTGCGACGCATCAAGGGAGGGTTTTTTCAAGTGGGAGTGATGGTGGCAGTTTTTAAGGGAATGGGAACAGAGCCAGAGGAGAGGGACAGGTTGATGATGTCTGTGAAAGTGGGGCAAGGAGGTGGAGCTGAGAGATAAGGAGTGGAATGGGGATGGGGTCAAGGGAGCAGGTGGTGGGTTTTAGGGATAGGATGAGTTTGGTGACAGAGGGTGGGGAAACGGGTTCGAAGGTTTGTAGGGGAGGATGGGTAGGAGGTGGAGTGTGAGAGGTTGGAGCAGAGCGGATTCCCTTGATTTTGGATTGAAGGAAATCCAGCATCTCCTCGCAGTGAAGGTTGGAGGAGATGACCTGCGCGGGGTGGCGGGGGGGACGGAGGAGTCGGGATGAGGTAGAAAACAGAAGTTTGGGGTTGTTCTTCGCCTCCAGGATTATCCTGGAGTAGAAGGACGACTTGGCCGAGGCTGGAGTGGAGCGGTAGATTTTGAGCAGGTCCAGCCAGATTTGTCGGTGGACCGTTAGGCCAGATCTGTGCCCTCACACTTTGGAACTGCATCCCACAATCTCTCCTGCTCAATCTCAATGTCTTGCCTCCTTCAAGTTCTGTCTAAAGACCTTTCCCTGCTTTGACTGTGCCTTTGGCCCCCCTCTGAACCCTGCTCCCCTGTCCTCCACCCCCCTCCTGACCCCAACTCCCAGCTCGTGTCCAAAAAAAACTGACTGTCCAGCGACTTGGGATGTCTTTCCTGACGTGAAGGGCGCTATACAAGTGTCAGTTATTGTTGTTAGATGTGAGTGGGTCAGAGTAAACAGCATAGAGCAATGTGATGAAAGCATTATGTACTGCTATACAATACTACCTTATGTCAGTTTAAAGCTAGAGGTTTTATGGTGAGCTGTAAAATGACAACACACACATAATGTAGTCCATTCAGGTTTAGTTGTGCAGCAAAAGATATACACCATGTAATAGTATAACTACACTGGAGCCAGTTATCCTCACTAATGGGACCAAACTGAGTGATTGCACAGCACCATAATACTAATAGTAGGGAAAGGTTATTCAGCCCATCAAACAAGACCAGTTACACAGCCTTATAACAGGACTCAAATAAACCTACATCCTATGACAAGGCTGCCAAACACTGATATGAAACTGGTACCTGTCCCCCGCCCCACCATCGACGGTTGGGCCTTCAGCCTTTCTACCCCCACATTCTCTTTGCCTTGCTCCTTCCCTTGCCTCCTTCAAAACATACCCCAAGATCCTCCTCTTCGATCATGTCTTTGGTTATACTGTCTGCACTCAGTGTGTTTAAAGCAGCCTTTCTCCTCGCAGGTATGAACAAGAAGGCCGTGCACGGAAAGTGGTGAAAGCTCAACAGCTGTGGTATGCTATTATTGAGTCACAGACAGAGACTGGCACCCCGTACATGATGTACAAAGACGCCTGCAACAGAAAGACCAACCACCAGAATTTGGGAACCATTAAGTCCAGTAACCTGTGTACAGAGATAGTGGAGTATACCAGCAAGGATGAGGTAAGCAGATCAAGCAGGAAGTAATCTACTCTCCATACGTAATTAATGTAGGTAAGCCAATGGCGAAATACAAAGATCAATTGTTGTGCATGGTTTTGGGTGGAGTGGGAAAAGGGGGAGAGAGAGTGAGAGAGAGAGGTGAGAAAGGAGGACTGAGTGAGAGACGATATAATTTGACAATGGAAATTATAGTGAATGTAAAAGATTCAGAAGTTTACACTTGCTTGTTTCGCCCACAAACTATACAGTCAATTTACTATGAAGCCCTTTGAGATGTCTAGAAGATGTAATAAGGCGCTATATCAAATGCAAGGATTATTATTAAATCATAATTCTCAGCTCATCCCTAATTCAAACCCGCAGCTTGTAAATGCCATTGCAGCTTTTAAGATTAACCCTCTTACTTGGGCAATAACAACTGAGAAAGTATTTATACACTTACCATAGGAACACTGGGCTGATTCCTGTTCTGTTCCTAATGATGCAGTTATAGAGTTAATCAACCTGCCAACATCTGTGGTTTGGGGGGGGAATTATAATCTGTATTTTTAGCCCTTTATGTTGTAGTGAAGTCACATCACCCTTTAATGTCCAGCTGCAGCTAGATTTGTGTTTCCAGACTTCACACACTGATCTGTACTTGTGCTGAGCCACAGCACAACATAGGTTTACTAGGATGATACCAGGGCTCTATCAGGAGAGACTGGATAGGTTAGGGCTATTCTCCACGAGAGATGTTCAAGACGGACTTCATAGAGGTCTTTAACATTGTAAAAGGCTTAGATAAGGGAGCAGTTCCTACATGTTGGGGAATCTGCATTCAAGGAACACAGTATAAGATAGTGGCGAATGGATCTTAAAGAGAAGTTAGGAGGAACTACTTCACGCCAAGGGTAATGAGATTGTGGAACTCACAGGCTTCTTCTGCATTCCTCTTTACATTCCTCTGAATATACACCTTCCTCTAAATTTACACTTCATCTGCACTCAACAAAGCGAGGTCTCCTTGGAAAATAACAAATGCAATTTTGTTGTTGCATTGGTAAACCAGTTTCTGAGCCAGGCGGGTCCACGGGATTCCAGGGCACTTACTGCTCATGTTATTACAACCTGGCTCATTGGCAGGACCTGGAAGGGCAGACTAGTCACTGGTGGCAGTGAGTCATCCCACTCAGTTCCTGTTAACCCTGCAGCCAAAGCCCTACCGGATAGGGTGGTCCCAACTGGGCAAGCAGCGGGAAAGCTTGTCAGACAGTGCTCTCTCTCAATGGCAAGCTATGTGGTTTTAGCTGGTTGGACTCCAGCAGTTACCCCCCCGAGTCTTGGTTCTTGCCAACCCACACCTAATACTCTCTGGAATTAGGTAAGCAGGATGTCCCTCCAGGGAGAGCGCGCATTCCATTCCTACAATCCATCTCTGGGATTTCCATGTGTAGGTGGGATGCATGGAAATCTCATCTGGTTTAAATACGGTGAAGGGTTTCCCCGTGTGTCAGACACACAGCTGACCCCCCGAAATTCTAGATCTATACATGTGGTATTAGTTTATTATAATCAATAAGTATTATAGATTAGAAGGTCAGCCTTTAGCTGATGAATGTTCACGGCATTGCTGAGTGTGCTATGAATTTACGTTTATTAGATGATGGTAATAATCCCTCCAAAATAAATATTTAAAAAAATTTGGTCACTCAAGACATGGCTGTGTGTGGGACGCTGCTGTGCGCAATTGGTTGCCCCTTTTCGCCCACAA